ATTGGACTGATGTTCGAGGTGAGATGGACTTTTCAAGTTTCTTTCGTCTTCCACCGCAGAGCTGCTTTCTGATGGCATGGACATCATGGCGAAACTCGATGTGGACGTATTATTTTCCTGAAGGAGGGAAACAGTAACTTCTCATACCGCAGCAGAACGTTTTGAAGACTTGGCGACTACTATTTAGACGTTTTCGTTCTTCTTTGTAGTCGACAATGCAATAGCTACGAAAATCGGAGGATATTAATGCTTGACAACTTATCGGCTACTTTGACACAAGTTTATCGGCCTAAACACTATTTGCATTCATAGTTTCAAGTTTCTGCGTGTCTGCAGAATTTTTGATTACAGTAATCACGTCACTTTACACAAACACGCAAAAAAAGGAAGCCGGATTAAGAAGGAAACAACGTGGCGATCGCCTTCAAATTAAAAGTCAAGCGCTCGTTTCTGCATTGGAAACGTACACACGTCGCGAACAGGCTCTTTATTTGGGAAGCGGATGGACAAGAAGCAGAAGTGTTGTCTGACGAAAAACTTGTCCCAATTTATTGCTCACTGCCACGTCTTAAATTCAACCTCCCCCGTAGTCCTACCACGGGCATTTTTACATAAAACGACGCGTTGCGAAACACACGTATCACATCCAGACATATTTAGCTCTGAATGTACTTTGGAAATAAGCCATACACAAATATTAAAATGAGCGATCTGTAGAGGGAGGGGGGAGGGTTCCCTACTTTTTTTCCTCGTAAAAGTTAACGTGTCACCTGACAAGACCCCATTCGGTTACCCTTTATTAGAGGTGTCTGAACTATTGCCCGCAAAGTCTCCAGTTCAAATGTACTGTTTTTTATTTTTGGGGTGGGGGGGTCATTAATTTTATTATCCTGAAATCTATTATGTTCACATTAAAACCCTTTGTTGTACCAGCCGTGCTCACGTGGTGATGTCGTGTGTCTCCAATCATGAATGACCATTTGAATCTCCCTTACAGGCAACAGCAAAGACGGCCATATTGTTTATCCAGCCCCAGTACAACGTCACCACATTGACCTCAGGTATGGTATCCTTGCATGTAGTGCATGGCAGTTATTGTGAAACAATGTGGTGTTAGACTGCCCAATGTCAAAGAGATTTTTACCAATGTAAAATACTCAAAGGTGTTTTCAACTCACCTGATGTGCTGTGCCCATAAGATGGAGAAGTGACATTGTATCATTATGGATGGAAGGACTGCGCCACCATCCTCTTCTACTTCTTTATTACCATCATCCTGCATGCAGTGGTGCAGGAGTATCTACTGGATGTAAGTACCACCAATACGGGGGCTCGGTTAATTATAGGTGATCGTGTCCCTTTTAAGCACACGGTTAAAAAAATCTTGTTCTGTCATGCTGACTACTCTATCCATCTTGTTATATTCTAAAAAACACTTTTTTTTTTGCTTTAAAACTGATTCAAGCTTGTTGAAAAATGACGGCACTTAAAATCTGTTCGGTTTCTTGCGACAGAAAATATTCAAAGCCTATGTGGTCTGTTTAACCAGAATTTTTTATTTGTTTTTTTTAAGACTAGTAATTTGGACTACGCAAACTATTAACTGGCTGACAGCCACATCGTTCCCTCTCTTGTGCAGCTGTTTTGAAAGTAGGCCAATGATGGTGTAATTTCAGTGCAGTGACCACAATCCAGAGCATATCTAATCTGCCACTTCTTGTTCGTCAGCCTCTTCAAATAGCATCTTTTTTTTTTTTTCCTGCTCCATTTATTTCATTTTTTTTGAAGACACACACTTGTTGAGTCAGCATTTACAAACCGCCGCACATCGTTCTCACTCCCAGAAAATCAACAGACGCCTCCATCTTTCCAAGAGCAAGAACACCAAGTTCAACGAGTCAGGTCAACTGTGTGTATTTCATTTGGTGTCCAGTGTGTGGAGTTTCTACATCCTCATTACTGTGAGTTTCGCACTCTTCATATGCGTCGATTTTCTTTGGACTTACAAGGGTTGTCTCTGAAACGACAGGAAGGATATGTTTTGCATCCCAGCAGACTTTGGGAAAACTATCCACATGCACACCTCAGGTATGATTAACACGCGTCTTCTACGGATCTGTTGAAAAAAGAAAAAAAGGTGATGAAGTAATACAAAAGGCTCCATCGTGACTCAAATGGAAAAACTGAAACTGAATTGCACAGTGCACTGCTGTCTGTTGCTTTATTTTTTTAGCGAGCCATTTCCTGTTTACATAATGACAGGAGCCGACTACCATTTTTTTTTGGCAAGCATGGAGGGGGAAGTGAATTTCTCAAAAAAAAAGGGGTGGGGAGACACATCCTACTGATGCTTGTTAAGCCACTTGTCGAATGACATCATATGAAGGGAACCTCGACATATTTATTTTGGGTTGGCGCAGTGGCCCCATCAGTAATTATTCCATTGTGACTGGTTGGGCAAAATGGGGAAATTTAATTTCACGAAGTAGGAGGAAAAAAAATAGCGAAACTCTTCAGGGAAATTTTGGTTTTCAAAAGATGACTTGATACAAAGAGTCTGCGCAATTTGATTGGTGGTCGGGGGAAACTGTTCCATCACGACTGAAAACTTTTACCAAAAATAACATCATTCAAATGGACCGTACCATTTTCATCATTTGAAACAGGGGGAATCAAGAGTCACATGAATGTTCATCTCCAATTACAGTCAATAAAGAATGTGTAAAAAAATGTAAAAAAAAAAAGATCTCCACTCTCGCCATCTCTTATCGGTTTGTGATTCAGGTTCCAGGTTAAGTTTTTCTACCTCACTCAGCTGGCCTACTGGCTCCACGCTTTGCCTGAACTCTACTTCCAGAAAGTGCGCAAGGTCAGTCAGGAGGAAACGTGTTTGCGTATGAGATTATAATCGTCTTAAAACAAATTTTTCATCGTTGGAAACTTATGACGAGAACATAAAAGGCGAGCGTGTGTTGGGTCATTTACCAGGAGGAGATCCCTCGTCAGCTGCAGTACATCGGCTTGTATCTGCTGCACATCTTTGCGGCGTATGTGCTCAAGTAAGCAGTCCTGCAAATTCAAAATGATTACAAGCCAAAATATTTCCAGTTGAAAAAAAAAAAAGTGAATAAAACTGTGGACCTGTTTTAGTTTGAACCGCGTGGGTTTGGTGCTGCTCTTCCTCCAGTACGTCTCCGAGCTGGGTTTCCACATCGCCAGACTCTTCTACTTCACAGATGAGAACCACCAGAAAATGCAAGTTGACCCCGATTTCATCATTTTCGTTCAAAGCGAAGCATTAAAAATGACCACGTCGGCGTTGTCCTCTTCAGGTTTGACATATGGGCGGCCAGCTTTGTCATTACTCGCATGTCGACGCTGACGCTCATGTTTCTCGCCGTCGGGTTCGGTTTGGCCCGCTGCGAGAACCAGGTGCTGGACTGGGAGACCGGCAATTTTAACACTGTCCTCATAAGGTGAGGAATCCTCTCAATGCATTCACGAGATGTTATGGAGGCCACTGATTTTTTTTTTTTATTAGTGTTTAGTTGTAGTCTGGCAAATCTATGGCGAGTCTAAGCCACCACCAATCTGTGCTCCTCCGCTGACTGTCAATCATAAATTAAAAAAAAAAAAAAGCTGTTAGATCGGGAGCGGAGTGATTTAACAGTTGGTCCGTTCTTTTCAGGATGACTGTTCTTCTACTGGTATGTCTGACACAATCTTGGCTCCTCTGGAAGTTTATCCGCTTCCAGCTGAGGCGCTGGAGGGAGTTTCGACATGAGCAAGCCGTCCGCAAGAAGGCCGCCACCAAACAAGCTCTTCGGCCAATGAAGCGGGACTCTCGTGAGTACACAAGAGGGGAAAAACTCAAGGCCGTGTTTGGAATCATTCAGCCATACTCCCGCTATTCGCTCAAGAGACATTTTTTGTGTTGTGGGCTCTAAATGAAAAAAAATAGTTTGCAAAGGGGAGGGGTGAGCAGTTACGAGGGATTTTTGATTTGATTGATCAATGAATTTTGTATAAATGTGAATTTTCTGCTCTTATGACGCTAATATTTTGAAAGACTCAAGTTGTGATTTTTGTTCACCTTCTCGTTGTCATGTCTCTTACTCTCCATTTAGTTGGGCATTATGAAAACGGAGTCCTAAAAGCCGAGAACGGAACATCTCCTCGGATCAAAAAACTCAAATCCTCCTAATGAAACATTCGGATTGAGCAGAGCAGTGGCCCGGTCCAAGCTGAGATCCCCGAACACAAGAGGGGCGAGCTGGTGTGTCCTGGGATCTAGTTCCATCCCGACACGCTCCCGGCGACTGCGTGACTACAAATTTCGGGCTTGAATGCTGGAAAATGAAATCCAAGGAAATTTCTTGAGCCCAAGAGACATTTACTCTCCTCATCATATCTATTTTTGTACTTTTTTTTTCTTTTTAATACAGCCACAAGACCAGCTTTCCCTTATTAAGGAGCATCATGCCAGCAAAATGCCAGAAGTGTACAAACAACAGTATGTAGCACATGTTACTGTGTAGCAACTTTGATTGTATGCATGTAATCCTCGTTACCAAGTACTGTATTGCTCGTCTGATTGCCGTTGAGCCAGCTTTGCTTCTTTTTTTTTTTCCCAGTCTGGTCCGTTGGGAGTAGCAAAAAAAAAAAAAAATGTTACCGATAACGTCATGATACAGGCTTATTGTAGGCAGGTCGTAATGTTCGCTCATATCATGTCTAAGGTGGAGATAAGGGGGAGGGACTTTGGTCAGCTAGTTGAAAAGTCTTTCAAATTGACTCCCAAGTAAATCACGTTTCGTATTCGTCACTTCCAAGACGCACATCGCAATGTACTTTACCGCATGCCGTTCCATGAAATGTCCTTGTGTTCAATGATGAATAATGCAATTTTCTGAAAGAAAAAAAACAAACACGTATGATTCATTTTCAGTCATGATTCATTTCACTTTTTTTTTGCCTGGCAATCACTACAGACCACAAAGCCATTTTCAATAGATTTTTATGTTTCTTGCCCTCCTCCAAAAATATATATAGCGATAATCTCTATACAAACCGTACATGTACAAGATGTGCAACATTTAATTTCTGGCTGCAATGTCAAGTTATTTAGATCAAAGCCTTGGGCCCCTGAAAAATTTGGCAAATAAAATGTAGGCAAACATTACTTCTAATGTGGTACTTCATATCACAGATGCTCTGATGAGCACTGAAAAGCTTTAAGGAAAAAAAAAAAAGGCCATCATGATCAAACAATGTCATAACTTATGACAAGTGACGCTATGATGAAGGACGAGTCAGTGTTTGGATAATACTATTTTAAATGGGTGAGTCTTACACCAACGTGTAAGACAACTTATTGGAGTCTCTGGTTCTCAGTGCGGCTCTGATACTCCTTTATCCATAAATCTGTCAAACAGTTCTCCAAAAAGCAGTGTATTTTGTTACGAAGCACCCCGCAGGCTCTTGAGTCCTGGTCCTAAGCACGAAGGGGACGTGACATCATGAGGGCGGCTCTGCAAAGCATATAAGTCATTCGACTTGACGTCAAATTTCCAAGGGATTTGGGAGTTCGTCCGTCACTCAAATTTACCATTTTGTCCTGCCGTCTGGTTTGTTTTGCCATTTTGTTCCGCCGTCTGATTGGTTCCGGAGCGCAGCTTCTGGCGTATGGTTTCAAGTGTCTCCAAGGGAATCTGGCCGGGGTTGTTCTCCATGTAATTGAGGACGTAAAGGTCGGCGTCTGTCAGGACGAAGCGGTGGCCGAAAACTAGAAGAGTGCAAAAAAAGAAACACACGAGTGGCTTTCGTCGGTCGGAACGGATCCCCTGAGTGGAAAGTCTTTGGATTGTGCTCGAAACCAAACACTCACCGTCCAGAATTGATCCGATGGAGAAATCCGACGGTGAGTAAAAGTCGGGATTGTCCACCGAAGTGTCCGGCTTGGGAACGCGTGTCCTTTTCAGGAACACCCCGCCCCTGAAACCGGAGTTGTTTTTGGGATTCTCGTAAATACAGATGGTGTCATTGGACAGGTAATAGGACAGAATGAAAAGACGATCTGCATCTTTGCGTCTCTGGGACTCGGACGCGTCCTTGGGAGTGACCAGTCGGGCGCTGTAGCGCAACACTTTGTGCTCGTTCTCCAGCATCTTCAACACATTCTTTCTGGGGGGTGCGGGGAGGAGAGATAAACAACTCTGGAGGGAATCTTCGAGCGATCCGAAGCCATTGTAGGGAGGAATCTCCTGGAAATATGGCAAAAAACAGATTCGGGGAAATGCTGCAAAATACAGGAATACCCGCTTAATGGCTGGTTGTGATTTGTGTATAGGTCACAAGATGATTGGCTGCTTGCTGAGTTGAGTAAACGAGCCGCCGCTATACAGGCCAAAAACGCCTTACTATACATGGTCGTTTTTTGGGGCTAAAAACGCCTTAATTTACATCGTTGTTTTTTGGGGGGATAAAAACGCCTTACTATCCATGGCCGTTTTTTGGGGCTAAAAACGCTTTACTACACATGGTCGTTTTCTTTAGCTAAAAATGCCTTACTATCCATGGCTGTTTTTTGGGGATGAAAACGCCTTACTATACATGGTCATTTTCTTCGGCCAAAAACGCCTTCCTATCCATGTTCGTGTTTTTAATACCGTCATATTTTTTCTCTCTTGTCATACTGTCAGAATCTAAACTCGGCCCATTCCTAGTCTCAAGGAATTTGTTAAGGCGAGCTTTGTATATCGGTTTAGTCCGGGTTGTTGGTGGACATTTGGAAAGTCTTTGCTGCATCTGTATACGCTTTTATCTGTGAGGCATTTATTTTGGGGGGGGATACTGTTGAGTTTGAAATCATGCCAAACTGCTTTGGGATCGTATTTTGTGGTCTGTTAAACATTTCAGGGGCAGGGCCGTCAATTTCTGGCGGTTTTCCACGACTCATGCAAATAGCCCCGGATTAACTTTTAAGTCTCACCTTTTTCATGCCCTCAAACTTGCCCATTTTCCTGGGTACTTCGATGCTTTTGATATTGATCTCAGGGTGGTTTGCGTGGTAGTAGTCTTTGGTGAAGTCATCGCAGTCGTACAGGAGGAAACGGCGTCCCAGGATTATCATCATTTTTCCCACCTGGAAGTCTTTCGGAGAGAAGAACTCTTCCACTTCCTCGACCGAATCCTCCATGACGCAGCTCGGGAACTGGTCTGGAAAGACAAAGACGGGAAGCTAAGAGGTGGCGATCGCACAAACATCGCTTCAGTTTGGCACTGCTTTTCAACCTGTTGTTCAGTATGTTGTTTTTTTTTTTTTTTAATTTGGGTTCTGCTCCAGAATGCTTCAGAACGAAACTAAACCGAAGCACCTGTTGGCCACGAGCAAATTTTGTCTTACCGTGACCGGGCTTCATTTTCTTCGGTATCCGCAGTCGCTGCATCAGAACCGGAAAAGGAAAGCGGCCGCTGTTGGGCTTGTGGTCCTCCCTGATCTCCACCGTGTCATTCACCAGGAAGTAGTGGATGGTAACGGGCAAGGTTTCGCCAAGCTCAGACTCCGAATCATCCCACAGGGCGAAGAAACGCAGCACCTGACCAAGGAAATAGTTCCGTGCTTACAGTGAAGACCTGACCCATTCACAATAACATACGGAGAACTTCTTAATTTAGATTTTTAGACTTTACCTTGCGATCCATGTGGAGAAACTGGTACCTGCTGTCAAATTCGGAGCGCGTCGTGCAAGTCGGCGGAGGTTTCTCCCGCCCCTGGAGATAAGAATCCACTGGCATTTCCTCCGGCGCGTTCAGAATGATGCCCTGACGCTGCATAAAATCCTGCAAATCGAGTCGACGCGGGAGGTCACGCTTGCATTTTCCATACACGTCCGATGGCGTGTCGTACCTTGGTAAAGGCATCACACTGGGCGATGTGGTACTTCACACCGTACACTTCCAAGTCAATGCCGAGGTTGAGGTCTTTCCAGTGGTAATACTTCCCCGGTTCCCTCTTAGGCAGACATTGGCGTTTGATCCGTTGACCCTGCAGTATCCCGGAATTGGGCACCCAGGGCTCAGAGATGCTCATGCTGTCGTCCTCAAGGTAGTAGTAAATAACCACATGACGGACGCATCTCTTCTCATCACGACTGTTGATCATTTCCTCCTCAAAGTACGCTTTGAAGCAAAGCACCTGCAAATAAAGCCAAGCGATCCGTGACGCGGTCACAACACCGCACAGCCGCAACTCTGCATGTGTTCCTTAATATTGACATTCTACTAAATAGTAGCTAGCAACCGCTTCACTGGTTGCACATCGATGTCAACTAAAAATGTTTTGGGTGACTGGTAACAGGACCATACCTTCTTGTCGAGAGTGACATAAGCTGGGATAAAGGGCTGAGGATCTGGGTGAGTGGGCGCAGGAGCGGCGTGGTAGGACAAATTAACCAAGTCTTTAATGTACTTGGTGTCAAAGGAGCCGTAAGTGAAGTCCGGCATGTCACCGGCCATGCCGCTGAGCTCTTCGTGCATCATCTGCTCTGTTAATAGAGGTTCCAGTCCGATGCCCAACCGGGGCGGGCGGGCCAATGCCAGGCCCTTGGAATAGGACAAAGTCTGAGGGCGATGAAAGGCTGTTTTCTGGGGAAGTAAAAAACAAACATCCATGAGACATGTTGAATACCACCAGAGTGCATCTTCGGTGTGAAGTTCAGTCCTCCACTTTTTGACACGGATGGATTGGGCAGCTGGCCTAGGGGAGATGCACAAAAGTCAGGTACGTGAACTACTGCCATACCATTGACCTGAGTATGCTATGCACTCATCTACTGCAGACATTATTGCAATTCTCCACTTTCTGCGACTGCTGTACTCTACTGCAAGAACTGCTGCCTTTCTTCCCACCAGCCCAGCTGATTGCATTCATTTGCAAAAGCATTCCATTTACCGTTTGCGTTTGGATTGCATGCATTAAACACATGCAAGTCGTCTGACTTGCACTTACTTTGTTCACGCATGTTAAATTTTAAACACATCGTGTATTCACAAGACTGTCACGCAAATACAACATTCTGTAGTATTACAAAGCCAAAGATGATGCGATCGAATCATTTCCTATTTGGCAACATTGGAAATGAATGGCATGCTGTTAGAATAGAGCAGTAGCACAAGCATACGCCGAATGATGTCTTAAAACAGGTCACACTGGTTAGAAATGTTTGAAATGCAGTGACTAGAAAAGTTCTACTTACCGTTACATCCTGGAAAGAAAACCCCGGCAAGAACGGCAAGCCGTTGTTGTCCAATTTGCGTGACATTGTTGCTTCGAGTGGACGAGCGATACAGTAGTCGGGTTTACATTTAATGACGCGATTTTGTTGTTATTTTTGGGCACTTTTTCGCAACGAGAACATTCAACGACGTCACGCCTGCTTTTATTTTGGTTCGGTTCCGGGATGTGACTTCTGTGAATATCGGAACGGCTTTCTTTGCTGGCATACGTTCTCAGTTAAAACTTTTCAGTCCATCCTAACAGTGTGTCCAAAAAACAAAGGTGATGTCATTGTCAGCCCTGGAAGAGAAACTGAGCTTCGGGGCGACGACTCAGACGTTTTAAGACGTTTATTTCAAACATGCTAATGCTACTACAGAAAGTTGACGTTAGCCACTCAAGCACAAGCTAACAGTCACGTTTTGGGTGACGTCACGAAACGACACGGAAGTTAGCAAATACGAATAAAAACAAAATTTAACACCCATTTTAGTACAAGTGTCAACATTTTCAAGGAGATGCATTACTTTGCGCTGAAAAGCAATGTTTTAGCCGCACTACTGTTGTTTCCATGGAACCAGCCTAAAAAACAAACAAATTAAAAACAAATTTCACACAAAAAAAAAATCAAAAGTATGAATACATTATTAATAAAACCACACTGACAGCTGAACTGAGGCAAGTGTTTATTTGAAGGAGTTTGTGTCATCTCTTGCAGGGTGTGAAACCTAAAGTTGACCACCAAGGGGCGAGCAAGGACCTCCCTTTGCCACCCACTTCCCTTGCTTAGACCAACTTTTCTGCCGTCATTCCATGTACACCTTTTTATCCAGGCATGAAAAAAATTCCTTTTGTTTCTTCTTGACCTCAGACCAGCTTTTCTTTTCCCCTACTGACGTCATTGCTTCTTCCGACCTTCGTTCCTTCACCTTTCCATCCTTCCTGGAGACTGAGTTTTTGTCCTCTTTCTTTTTTTTCCTTCCTTCCTTTTCATGTTATCCCCATGGCTGCATGTCTTGAGCCTCCTTTATGATTAATTGAAGATTTTTTTTTTGTCTTGTGATTGGCTGGATACCAGTTCAGGCTATCCCTCGCCTCTTGCTCAAACTCGGATGAGTTCGGCTCCAGGAGACCCACGACGCTGAATAATGAGAAGCATTCGAAATAATGGATAGATGGACTCAAAATATCAGAAGACATGATTTCTGAAACGTTTATTCCAAACAGAGGAGTCACCTCCTGCCCTCGTGTTGGTCAGCTATCGGCGTGTTCATGTCCAAATGAAAACAATAAATGTTCTAAAAATGATACAGCATAGACAGGCTGTCCCAATGTGGGTGACCCTAATATGTGTGCTATCGGTTACTCACCTCTCAAGTTAAAAAAATAAAAATAAAAACTATGAAAGACAAATATGGTTATTTCTACACTTGAAACCAGAGAAGCACAAACAGAACTGGATTGTAAATAGCTTATATTAACATGGCCGATGTGATTTTCATCACACAGCGACGGATACTTCCAGATACGAGTCCTGTTCAGTTCAATCGGTGTTTCACTGAAGCAAACGCAACCGAAAACAACCAGAAGGAACTACGCTCAATGATTTGGTATTTCTAGTCATCAGACCCTGTGAGAGACCTCATAGTTTGAAAAGGCACTGCACTGTGAGTTTCATATCCTGTATCAAAAATACGGTTAAATCACTAAAAACCTCTTTGAGGCTCTCTGTATCATATCGTATCTCTTTAACTGCTAGAGGCTGACGTACATGATTTCAAAAAAAAAAAAAAAGGGGGCTTACCCCTCCTCCCCTCTTAGAAGGCAAAAACACACAGACACTGTAGGATTGTATCCCTGAGGCGCCGGACAACCTTTGCCAAGTATAAAAATATCTCATAATAAACCATACGCGAGAACCAAAATACACAAAAATCAATAAACTATTAAATATTATAAAATAGATTTCATAAGGATGGGGGGGGTGAAGGAAATATTTTTTGGTTTTGTAAAAGGCAGCATCCTCTGTGGGGGCCGGGGGGAAAGAAAAAAAAAAAAGATTGTCCTGTACACTTTTAGGTCTTAAATGCTGGCTAAAGATCCAAGTGTTGCAGCTGCCTGATGCCTTGCTCGCCTCTTTAATCACCGTCAAGTCTCCGCAGGTCTGTACGGGTCCTAGGAAGCTAAAAACCGAAGGGCCTGACTTCAAAAAAAGGGCTTCCTTGAGGTCATGGGCGAGGCCCCTCGCTTCCGGCAGTACGCTCCAGCTGAGAGGTAGAGCGGGGGAAAACACTCCTACAAGTGGGGGAAAATTACGATACCCAAAGGAGAAGGCCAACGACCTCGGTGGGGGGGGATTCTCTTCCCAAATTTGCAGTACCTCCTTATTGGTTGACAGGTGCGAGCCATCCGAAGTCTTATTCGAGTGAGCGTTCCGTCCAAAGCGGCGGTCAGTAATACCGATTGAGACTTCGCGTCCCGGGGACGTCGGGCTGCCCGTTCATCCAGATCTCCCTGATGATGCGTTCCCTCTCCTCGAGCCGCTGCGCTCGCTCCAGCTCCTCGGCCGAGGTGAACACGTTCATGTTGAGCGTGCGCTCGAAGCGCCGGTGCCGTCGCGCCGACAGGTCCGAGTTGGCGTCCCAATCCGAGTCGGAGTCGCTGGAGTCCGACGACGAGTCGGCGGCGGGGCGCGCTCGTTTCTTGGCGGCGGCTTGCCGGCGGGGCGGCTGGCAGTCGGTGCGACAGGAGATCTGGACCACCAGCGCGAATAGGGTAAGGAAGAGGCCCAGACAGACACCACAGACAAAGAAGAGAGCCGCCCTCTCTGGGTGGTCTGGCGTAGAGTGGAAAAGATAATGACCAGAAAAGTGAGTGATATGTGACAGTTACCGCAATAATTGCTCCCCCTTTGTTTCATATCAAATATTTGACTCGCTGGTTCCCTTGACATGGCTTGATTCTTTTGTCTTCAACACCAAGTCTAAATTGTAGTGGTGGGAAGTAACTACATCCCCAAAATTTTCAGGCTATACTTGAGTATTTTTACTGACTGCTTTTGACTGTGATTTCCTGCATTTGAAAAAAAATCGACTTTTTACTCACTTTGTCAAAATCGGCGGGCTGTTTCTTTGGCTGATAAAATCAACAGCAGCAACAAAGCAACGTGAACCAGGGAGCATTCACTATGACGGCAATTAAGTTCAGCGAGGCAAGATTTGCCCGAAATTGCTTGATGTTGGCTCCAAGAACGATTTACGACGAAAGCAATCTGTCTAAAAATAACAGTCCTGGCATGCAAAAGTCCGGAAAAAAAAAAATAACGGTAAGGAGGATTTTTTTTCATTCATTATCATAAGCTAATAGCATAGCTAATTTAGCTTATGATAATAAGCTATGATAATAATTAGCTTTAAAAAAAAATTTTTTTGTCTGTTCACAGAGTTGGCAAAGTAAAGCTCTATTTTTGACTCGGACACTTTTATCAACCATCACCGGCCCATCGCACCCGATTATTTGTGTTCCTACTTGAGACGTATGTGTAGGCCGCCAGAGCGTTGCTAATGAGGGCCATGCTGGAGCTGGAAGTGGAGTTAATAATGGGATTCATCTCCGGGGGCCTCAAGGGCGCCTCGCCTCCCCCTCTTCCAACCTCGGGATACCTCTCCTGGTCGGCGCTGGTCTCTCTGATGCGCTTCCGATCTGCAGTGGGGAGGAAATGACACAAAAGCCGGAGTCAAAGAACGGATAAGCCCGTTATGATCCTCCGACTAAAATGTGGTCCCGTGAATGCGATGAGGCACACCGAGTAAGTATCAGTCATCGTATTTTTACCACATGTGCTGTGTCGTGATGCCACCGGTTGGGTCATTGACAAAAAAGTGCTTCCGAGCCACTGAGTCATCCCCGCGGCGTCTGCGTGGGTTGTTTTAATCGTTTTGGTCCGAGACGACGCATCAAAACACATGCGCCGTCTTGTGATCGACAAGATAACATGGCACCGCCGCAGCAGAAGGCAACTTGACTCAGGCCATTAAGAACTGAACAACCGATGTGAGGAAAGTTTGAGCGATGTCCTTCTCGGCAAATTGCCGCATCGGAAGCACGAGGCCACAGTCGGTATTTATTTTACCTGCGCCTTTCAGATCGACCCCGATCTGGTAACTTTGACAGAGAACGGCAAAATAAAGAGAAATCTTTTCACAGCTAGCGTAAACGTGGTCACTTGCGGTGAATGTTTTAAGTCATGGTGGATGAGCATGTTTTGGTGAAATGTCACACAAAAGCGCCGTACGCTAAAACTAAACTGACGTTAATTAACGTGCGTCAGACCTCTTATCTGATAAACATAGTTTAGACTGCAATTGCCGGCTAAAAGCGTAAACGTTTCCACCTGGACGTACGGCTGCGGCGTCAATGTCTGCTGACCAAGAATTCCCAATCACACACACGCGCGAAGGCAGCCAGAAAAATAAACAGGTGAAATGAATCATGATGGATCATTATCATCTCATTTAGCTGCAAGGAAAGACTCTGAAATTAATTTTAAAAAGAGCGCTAGGAAATGTATGGGTTTCAATCAAGCTAGCGCATGTTTTGGACACACCTCACAACAAAAAAGGCCAGAGCTGAGATTCAAAACTGGGATGTTGGACTGTGAGACAGGCCTGCTAACCTCATTAGTAACATTATTAACTAGCCAACATTAGCAGACGTGCTAAGCATTCTCCCTTGACATAGATATATATTTTTTTATATTAACCCTTTCACGCACCCTGTAACTCTAATGTGATCGAAGATAAGCTTTATGCTGGTCTTCAGGCCTGTTTTGAGATCTCTTGTTTACACTAAGCAACGCTAACCACCTACTAGCGCGGGGCTGTCATTAATCAGACAGGTAGTATATTTAGAAACCGCTTTTTTCCTCCAGAGACAAAACATTTCATCACGGGACAAAAGACCAGACGAACGACGTGACGAGGAATGCCGGCTGTTCATGTCGACGTGTCGCGTTCCACCCTCATATCCTTACAGTATTCCTCCCGTGTCCCTCTATCAAAAGATGGAAAACCGGTTTTTCCAGGTCAGCCGGAAAGTAGGAAAGCGCTTCCAAAGAGGTCAATGGCCTTTCAAGCATGAGGCACTGTCATTAACTGATGCGTCGAGCCCTTGTCCTTTTCATTTGTTCATCGATCTTCCTCAACAGTAGTCATTTGTGTTCTGAATGCTTTGCTAGCAGTCCATTTTCTTTTCATTCCCTTTGCTATGTCTCCACCCATACATTTATGCCCTGATGTGAGACCTCAATATTGTTCCACTTGAAGCATGAAAGGGGGAGGGGGTGGACTGTGTCGTGTTAACTCTCTCCGTGGGGGTGCCACAAGGGTCTGATCAAAGTCCCTCAAGCTTAGGTGTGTGTGTGCAGTTTTACTCACCTGGAACAGCGTTGGGGCGTTTGACTGAAGTCCCCTCAGGAGGGCTGTCTCCCACTATGTTGGGGTCATGGGCGCCGGACGGTGGGGAGTACGCTGGCGCTCTGGAGCTTTGTTCCTGGAGTAACTTCTTTGGGACTGCAGAAAAATGGATGCCCGTGCAGGAAAAGGAAGTCGAGGACATAGGAGAATGATTAGAATGACAATGTCGTTCACTGCCCGGGGTCAGGATGACAGCGTTTTTGAAGTTACTTTTCCAACAACGGAGGAGAACTGCTGAATTCATTTGTCATCATGTGGCTGTTGGTCATGGTCAAGAAATACACTTTAGAGAGTCCAGAGCACAATAACAGTTCAGTCACGTTGCCACTTCTGTACTTTGTATGTTTGTTACCAGCAGCTATGCTACGGAAGAGCAGCAAATGACTCCCAATGATAAACCAAAAAACCACGAGGGTACAGAACAGAATATTTGAGCAAATGAATGATGACCAAACATATTTACAGTATGTGCTATGATTCACACTTCTTTGACCTTGCACTATGTTTTCCCGAAACCTACGGCTCCCACCGCCATACACCCCCTTAAACCTCAGTGTCCTGTGAGTGAGTCAGGGAGTCTGCACCCCCCCCCCCCCCCCCACCCCCCCCTCCAAAACCCACCACCCGGGACAC